GTAAGAAGGGTAAAACAGCAATAAAACCAAGAAATAAAATACTGTTCACTGGGTGATTTCAATATGTTGCATTACTCCACAAACTTCATCAGACCAAAAAATATATACCGAAACCAGAGTTGTATTGATACAAAGGAGAAACCTCAACTACATGTTGAGTTCCCCAGAGAGAGAGGAATGTCTATGGGATGGAGGTCTGAAAAGTCAAGAAGGCGGCAATCACCACACAATAAAAACCCTTTCCCTTTTTCATATGCATCAAATGTGAGGCGCATAAAAAAGCTTGCGTCATCAATCACACAGTTGAAACCAGCACTCGTTCATTGAACCAATATCTGTCAAGCATTTATAATGCTGTCCACTATTCGTTTGTTTTGGCTTCTGATAAAATTGAAATGGTAATTATTTTTTCTCTTGGATCTTTGCCCTCAGCACTCCCTGCTTATTAGTTGACATTAATCTCAGATTAATTATTAGGGGATTATTGCTACGTACCTTGTTTACCACTTCTCCAGAGGTGCCAGTTTCTCAAGCTGTGACTATAAAATCCTGTAGCTGTCCTGGCAAAGTCAGACATCGTCCTCCAAGGAGCCGCAGCAATGAAGGCAATAGTCCTTGCCGTCCTCTTCCTCTTTATTGCAGCCAATGAAGCCAAAGTGTACTCCAGATGTCAACTGGTTTCAATTCTGAGACGAAATGGCATGGATGGATATCGTGGCTACAGCTTGGGCAACTGTGAGTTTACTCAATTTTTTTCTCCACCTGAGCAAGTTCCAGGTTTGCAAGGGGGATCCAAAATGGGGCAGATCTTTCAAGAATTAGTTCAATCAACCTTCCCAATGAATCTTTTGAATTTTCTTAGAATGAGAAGATATGCTTTCTTCCCATCCCAAATGATTAGAGATAGCTTCTCCCAGGACTAACACTCTTATTTTTTATCAAGATAGTAGATTTCCAATTTGTTGCCTGATTGGGACAATTGCAGAACTGAGATATGGTTATGCCATCCTGGTCTCGGTGTAGGTGTTTTTTTTTTACACTTATGGCTTAGACAATATTGTATTTACTCTCTTAAGAATAAGGGTTATTATCCCTACCAGGATAAACATCCTCTCAAAGGTAAGATCTTTCAAATTCCATCATTTAAATTTAGTATACGATTGAAGGCACCATCATAGAAGATTTTCTACATGTGCAGATTGCCAAAAGATGTACAATGAAAATGTACCTCGTCCCAGGAAGGCTCAAATTAGGAAGAAGGGGAGGTGGCTTTTTGCGCCATTAAGAACTCCAGGTATATTTTGGAGACAGAATCAGATTTATTCGAAATTTCCTGAAGATTTCCAAAATATATTGGACTTTTTGGGTCCTTCCTTGATTGAGGGAAGAATGAGAAGATAGTTAAGCATTATGTTCTAAATGTTCTATTTAAAAAAAAAATATCAGGATGGCTTTTTAATTTACAGCACAGATCTTTTATAGCCCATTCCCCATTTGCTTTCTTCCAGGGATATGTATGGCTTATTATCAGAGCAGATACAACAGCAGATTTGTGGGGCCACAAACTTCAAATGGCAATCGTCAATATGGGATTTTCCAGATAAGCAGCCGTTGGTGGTGCAACAATTACCAGGGTCCCACAGCTAATGGCTGTAATAAGCCTTGCAGTGGTAAGTCTGACAGGCTTCCAAAATTCTGTTGCTATTATGTTCTATGACACAATGGGGTAATATGCCTATACTCCTTGTTGGGTTTCAGATGGATAGGATTGATAAGGGCTCATCAACACTGTCTATAGAAATTGTTTTGAGTTCCTGCTTGGCTCAACAGTGATAATATCTAGCCACTCTGCTTTGTGTTGGCCTCTTGGCCTTTTTCTGTTTAATGTCCTGCTACCCAATTTGTCACAACTACTCTAAATTCCTCCACACAGTTATATCTCCATTTCTGTCCCCAGAACATCCACCACAGTATTATCTAAAGAGCAAAAGACTTCTATGTGGTGAAGTCCCCCTGTCCCTCTCACATTAACTATCTCACACTCTCTTCAGTGCTTTTTAAAGATTTCTTCACTTTTATTACTTTTATAAACAACTCAAGGCAGCACACATACCTCGCACTCATTCTTTCTCCTCCTCCTATTTTCTGTGAAACAAACTTAACTCTGTGAATTGAGTTGGGCTGAGAGGAAGAGACTGGCCCAAGGTGAGATTAGAGCTCACAGTCTCCTGGTTTGTAGCCTGGAGATTTAACCACTTGACTAAACCTGCTCTCCATGTTGTACAATGAAAAGTGTTGCTTATAAAGGAGCCACATGATCCTATCTTCACAATAATTAATATCTTGCTAGAGCAGGGGTCCCCAAACTTCGCAACTTTTAGACTTGTGAGCTTCAATCCCAGAATTCTCTAGCCAGCTATGCTCAATCCAGTGTTTTCTGCCCATTGTCAGAATTTAGCAGTTAAGTGAGATATTTCCTCTCTGGCTCCTTTCCAAGAATGCAATACTGCTGTCAGGATGCCTTCATATCCAGCATTTTCAGTCTAGAGTACAAACAAACTCTACATTTTTCAAACATGTTATTCTCCATGTTCAGAGCAGGAGAAAAGGCATTTCATGGTTTACACCAGCTGGGTAAGAATCTGTTTTAAACAATAAGTTTATGGAAATCTTTGGAAATACCTTTGAAACATCTGGAATTTGATAAATTCTAATTTGCTCTTTTGGCAGCTTTCATAAATGATGACATCACCGATGATATTACTTGTGCTAAAAGAATTGTGCGTGATCCCAATGGGATGAATGCCTGGTGAGTCAATATCTCATTATCATCTTATATTTGGAACATTGGCTAGCAACTGAACTTGTACTCATGAAATTTAATTAGTTTCTTTAGACTATTGTAAGACGTCTTAGCGTTGGTAGTGAAATATACTATCTGAACATTACAGATTGTGTTTTTATTGCTACACCTGCATTCTGGTTACTTTATAATATGGGTTTAAGAAGTCTTTTGAATCCTGGTTTAAAAGTAGCCTGAGACACAATTTAAGACACAACTGTTGATGCTGGTTATAGCTGGGTTACTCCTTCTCAGTCATTTTACTTAATTGTCCACTTCTGAGCTTGTCAGCTGTTAAAAAATCTAGGATTTAGTACTGAGTAGCAGAAGAATTAGGCAGAGGATCTTTTGAACCCAAGGATTCCGTGGACAAACTCCATGGGAACAGAGATCTGGTAGGTAAAGAACCTACCAGCAGTACTATGAGAAATAGGAAGAGATCATTCATGAAGCATCCAATTATAGAATGAATAGTAAGGGGCGGGAGAGGCAGCAGAAGATCATGAGATCAAAAACTTTTCAGCTGAGTATCTAGAAGCAAAGAATAAAAATGCTTTGTGGTAAATAATCTGAATTATATAAAAGTATTCTGTGTGCTGTTCTGAAGAGAGTCCAAAGTATCTACTGGACATTACGGCATGTAAGCTTTATTATGAGAAATAAAAAGCCAGGACTTTTTAAGCTAAAACTATTGTTTTAATCTGGAGGATAGGAGATTTATTTAAACAACTAAGAAAAGAACTGTCAATGAACAGGAAAGATGAATGAATGATAGTTGCACTAGCTCACCTCGATGTTTCCTAAATCTTTCCAAGTAGAATTACGCCATTTGAAACTGTTAAAAACACTATCACAAGTGTGTTCTACAAAAATGTGCATTTTTCTTATTTTTATTCTTTCTTAAGGTATGCCTGGCAAAAAAACTGCAAAGGAAAAAATCTGTCAAGATGGACCAGAGGCTGCTAGCTCTGAGTTTGATGATCCTGCATTTCTCTTCCTCCTTCTGTTGTGACAATGATATTATTCCTTATATAACCATATTGAGCAGTTTGATTCCAGACCTGTACTCCACATGTTGGGAAGAATGAGTTTCTTTGCACACAAAACAATGATTTTTAAATGATTTCTGGGTGGAAAAGAGGGAAACATAATGCTTTTAAAAAATCTTCAAAACTTGCTTC